TTTGGGGCAGTCCCCTTCCTCCCAGAAGCCTTCTGATCTCCCAGATGGGACCATATTCTCCTATTAGATGTGCACATCTCAAGCACTCACGCAGGTCATTTAGCTCTGTAGTGTTGGTTGTGGCTCCAGCCACAGTGTAAGCTCGAGAACAGGAACCACACCTGCCTGGCTCCTCACAATATTCCCGCACAGGACTTCCTTGAGTGGATGAAAGGACCAAGCATATGGGGGGTTAAGGGAGTCGGGCGTGGCAGAGGGGGCAGCAAGATGCTGTTTGGGCACTGATTTGGTCATCAACTCTCACTAGAACCTTAACCCTCAAAGGGCAATGGGTTTCTTTTTGGAGTTAGTGTAAGGAGAAACCTGGGCCTCTGAGAAGCAGCAGGTAGTTCCTAGCAGTCAGGACTGTAGGCTTGGGCCTGTGGGAGAGCCAACAATGAATAGAGGAGCTGGCCCCCAACCCTGAATTTTGAATTTCAGTAGGGTGGCTTAGAGACCAAGGAATTTTCTCAAAGTATAACCTCTCTAAATAGGGACGTGCCTATAATTGCTTCTGAGTCTTATAGAAGTAGATTGTTTGCCTAATTAAGCACTGTTTTCACCTCCAGAGGGTAGAAATTTAAAAATATATATTTTATAAAATGTCTAGCCTTGCCTTACATTCTAAGTTCCCTGTAACCCGTACCTTAATGGTAGAGTATTAGAATGTTTTTGTTGTAGTATTAAAAAGGAAAACTTTTATTTTAAACTTGGTAAATACCATTTAAAGACAACATAAATACTAAAAAATTTAATGTTAACTGTTATCTTGAACTTTAATCCCACAAATATTTCACAGTCTACTATATGTTCAGCATTGTACTGGGTACTTACATCACCCTCAATTAAGATTATATTTACTGGCCTAATTTCAGATGAATAAAGCATCTTGTGCTTGTGCAAACCTGCATTAAATAACTAGAGGGTTATTGTGTACAGGTCATTCCTAGCAGTGCTATGTAACAGTAAACTAATAGTCTTTGAATGTGCCTTTGATTAAACACCTCAGAGATATTAGTGACTGTTATTCTAGTAGGATAACATTTAGCCATTTAGGAATGAAATTTAAAAGATTGTCATTGTAGAAAAAGTAGAGTGCATTTTTAAAAGATGAGTGTCTCACAAAGAGTGTAGGTTATTTTTATGGGGCTTATTCTCCCTCCACTAAAAAAGACAACTGTTGGGCACCAAATAGCAGTGTCCCTAAGTTACATCTGCATTATGATCTTTGTACTGAAAATAGTACAGTGGCTATTTTTGCTTTTTTCAAATGATGTGTTAATTACACAGATTTGAATTAGTCACTCTGCAGTGCATTTTATGTTCTTTGGGCATACACTTTTAGAGTTGTGTATGTGTGCAGTGCACATAGATATTGCTATAACTCTGGGTGTACCGCCTACATGCTATTCAAAGTCAGGAAGCTGGTTCAATTTAATCATTGGCATCTATGTTGTGTACAGAAGGGCCTGTATATCCTGTTTTGTTATTTTCCCTTTAATTTTGTCTTTTCCTCTCATCATCCGTTGTATGCAAAAAGATTTAGGATGGGGACAAACTCCAGAAGGAATAAAATAAATCACTGTGGTTTTAGGTATTTTATATTGGGAAAGCATTGTCTTATTGTATCACTTTTTATTACCTCTCAACAGCAAGGTTACTGAACCAAAATCCGTTTCAGCTCTAGTTTGACTCTTAAAGATTGAGTTAATTATTTGAGTGTTTGTATGAACTAGAATTGGAAATAAATATAAATGTATTGAAGTTGGTGGGGAAGGATTAAATAAGATAACAAAAAAGCCAAGAGGATAAGGAACCATTTGGGGCACTGGAACAGAATGGTCAAGATAACTGTAGGGACAGTTACTTCAGAATGCCTTACATTTGAGTTTGAAAAATCTTCAGGGAATTCTTAAGGTTTCTAACTGAATTTAGATTTTATCCAGAATTAAGTTTGTTTTTCTTTCTCATTTGATAAGTGTTCTGATGTTTTTCTGTTTCATTTGCTTAATGAGATCGAGGCTCACTATTTTTCAGTTAAGGAGAATTGGGTTTGTTAGGATTTTAAGTGTCATCCATTTGGCTGATATGTAAAGCTCAAACTGAGTTTGAGTGCTTTGCTCTTTTTCCCCTCCCAGGTTCTATCTAAATTGTGGGCTAAGAGTGATTTTTGAAAACCAAGGATTTTGACTATTTCAAAACAAGGAAACTAACAAAAGTAATTGCAATTTAGGTTATGCAATTGGTGCAAAAGTTCTTGTTCACTGTGATATTAAATGATGGGAACCCAGTAAACTAGGAAGTTTCTCTTCATCTTTCAGAAGCATGTTGTCTGGTTAAGAAGATAACCCTGAAAACATGCTGCCAGGCAGATATGTTGGAACCAGTGATGGAAGGAGAAGTACTGAAGGAGAAGATGCCTTCTAACTGGGAGCGTTAGGAATGCTGGATAGAGCACATGTGCGCTCGCTCCTTCCTGAGCCTAAGAGATGGGCTTACCCATCTGTTTAAATCTGTAACCTTACTGTTATATCTCAGCTACTATGATACATTATCAGGCCCACCTCATAAAATTGAGGCATAATCAGTTTGAGAGATTTTCAGCCAGGATTATAACCTTTCCCTGCCTCATGTAGCTTACAACAAATTTTTAAAAAGCTTATTTCTAACCAAGACTGGCATCCTCTATAGTCCTAGCAGTAAGGTGTGCTGGGCCTTGAGGCCAGTCAGAGCTGGGTTCAAATCCCTGCTCCGATACTATGGCCTTGGGCAACTTACTCGGCATCTCTGGGCTTCTTTTTCCCATCATGCCAAAGGGTGATCACGCCAACTTTGACAGGTGATCGTGACGGGTTTGAAGATTAGGATCCATAAATGAAAGTTTATGGCATACCTTTTCTCATTATGATCATTTAGAGGTATATTTGTTTCTCATACCTATGATATTTCATATATTCATCCTGAGACTTAAAGGTTCCTGTTCCATCATGTTTAAGCTATTCAGGAGTCATGTGTCTGTAGATGCTATCTGAAAACCTGTACTTAAAATTGGGAGCAGTTCCAGATTCTGCCGCCCATGTTTCAGGCATTTCACATGGGGTGATTGTACACGTACAATCCTACACTTCTGGCTCGTGTACCTAAATCAAGTAGTCTTACCTACTTTTTGAACTAAAAAAATTCTAATGGAGAAGCATGAATGGAAACTTGGACTCATTGGTGAGGTAACTATCTTGTCAGTTCAGGCTGCTGTAACAAATACCACACACTGGGTGGCTTATTTATTTCTCACAGCTCAGGAGGTTGGGAAGTCCAGGGTCAAAGGTGTTGGCAGATTTAGTTCCAGGTAAGGGCCCCATCCTGGCTCACAAATGCCTGCCTTCTTGCTCTGTCCTCACACGTTGAAGAGAGAGATCACTTTTTATCTTGTCTTCTAAGGGCACCAATCCCATCATGAGGACTCTACTCTCCTGACCTAATTACCCCCAGAGGCCTCACCTCAAATACTATTACATTGGAAATTAAGAGCTTCAGCATATGAATTTGGGAGGACAAAAACATTCAGCCCATAGCAACAATTAACACAAGTTAATTCAAAGTTCATTATTTTGTTGCTTAAACTTGCCAGGCTATTTCCTATGGTTACTAACAATCCCCCACCTACCCCTCTTTAATTATATTGCTTAGCTGAAGGGCAAAACCATTTCTGTGCTAAGGATGGCTGGCTCAAATGCCTTCCAAGATGGGACAGGTACACATAAATAAGGGGATAGGCCACTGTAGATCACAGAGCACCCCCCCCAAAGGGGAGCAGCCCAGCCCTGTAGGACCGTAACATAGTGCTGGGCTCTGGGTGTGTGTTTCTAAGGCTGGGAATCTGGATTGACATGCAGCTGTCAGGTAGTAGATGTATTGTTGCTTGCCTTTTTTTTTTTTTTTTTTAAATTTTAATACTATGATAAGCCAAACAAAATACATCTGTGTATTGGCATGCCTGTGGGGCATCAGTTTGCCTCATCTTCTCTGTTTTGTGCCAAAGGTACTCAAGTGTTTGCCTGGAAGATCCAGTTCCATACCTTTCATTTACATAGGGTAATGTGTGTTTTATTTCCGTTGTGGAGAGTCATAATCTTCACTGTTCATATCAATAATCATGATTTAAAGCACCTGGTTGAGGGAAAACAAAAGCAGGTTTTATGTGTACTCTGTCCAGAAAAGTCTTACTTTGGTATTGAACTGTTGATTTTTATCAGAATTCCCCCAGGTATTGTTGTAAATGCACTAGAGCTCCTTGCATTATCCATTTGATCTGGTTTCAGAGTTAGGAAAGTATCTTACATTTTTACTGAAAAACACTAAATCAAGCATGTCAAACTCAAAGGCTAACACGGACCAAATAAACGAGGCGTGCCGAGAGCTTGACGTGCTTCCACTAACTGGTTGAAACTCCTAAAATAACTGCTCCGTATTGGTGTGTTGATGATTGAACTCTCCAGTAGTGGGACTTAAGTGGGATTATTAAATAACCTGCTAGGAAGTAAGGATCATCTGCCTTGGACCAGAATGCCCAGATAACCACTTTACAGTAAGCCAGTGGAGGAAATAAGTTTTAAAATGCAACTTCTTGCCAATGTAATGTATAGAATCTTAGCTTTGGAATACTTCCCTCTTGAAGTACAATTTTCCAAAATGGGCATCTCAACCTTTCTGTAGCATATTAAGTAGAAGAGGGGAAAGAAGGAATTGAGGTATAAGAGTGGTCCTCAGTGCCACTATTAACCATTTTCTTCAGGTTTTCATATTATGCAAACATGTTTATGATATGCCATCATGTCAGGAATGTGACAGTCTCAAGTTATTGTCGATCCTTTCCAACCTCCATGTTTCCTCGCCTTCTCTTAAAGGTCACACTGAGCACCAGTCTGAAAGAATGTTCCTCTTTCTCTCCTTAATCTCAATAGGTGGAATATATGTTGGTGTCTTTTGATCATGAAAAGAAGAGAGTCCAGTTGGTCCTGTCTGGAGAAGAAGTCCTTGAAACTCTACAAGAAAAGGGGGAAAGGACAAACCCGAAGTAAGCTGGAGGCTTGTTTTAGTGTTTCTGAAACTGTCAAACTACTAGAATAGCCTCTTTCCTCAGATGTGAAGGACACAGGATAGCATACCAGTTTAGAGCCGGGCTCTGATTCCCAGCTGCCTGGGTGCAAATCCTGGTTCCTGTACTTAATAGTTGGGTAACCTTAGGCAAGTCCCTTAACTTCTCTGTGCCTCAGTTTCCTCATCTGTAAGGGAGGGATAATAATATCTACCTTGTAGGGTATTGACATTTTAAAATCCATTAACATATTAGAGCACTTAGAATAGTAAAGGCAATATAGAGCTTGTTTACTATTTTTAAAAATTGCCATAGTGTTCCTGAGACCACGAACGATGGTGCCAGATTAAACTTGCAGATGGGTTTTGTTTGGCTGGTGGGATGTTTTCTAAATATTTATTTAAGTAGACAAAGAGGGGAAGGGGGCCTGTGCTCTGCAGTTTATTTTTCTCCTCACCTCAGCCCAGAACTGAAAGAGCCTTAGGGCCTCATCTCCTTTCCTGCACAGGGACTGGCTTGTCCTGACAGAGAGTGCCCTGTGCGTGTTTTCACTTATTTATAAATATTTTGGACCTGGTACTTTTAACCCTTATATAGTTGAAGAGCTATGGAAAATTAATGGCCTTTGGGAATTATAAAGCAGTTTTTAGCTTCATTTATACCTAATAGTTTCTAACATTTTTGAGGCAATGCTTTAAAAGAACTTCTAAGAATTGAGTAGACTGCAGCAAAGAATAAGATGGAGCAAATTTTTATTTTCTTCTCTGTAGCCACCCTACACTTTGGAGACCAGAGTACGGGAGTTACATGATTGAAGGGACGCCTGGACAGCCATACGGAGGAACCATGTCCGAGTTCAACACAGTTGAAGACAATATGAGACAGCGCCGGAAGGAGGCAACTTCTTTATTAAAAGAAAATCAGGCTCTTTGCACAATAACTTCATTTCCCAGGTTAGTTCCTACGTGAACATGCCCCAGGGGACAGTTCAGAGCTCAAGGTTATAAAGAGCAAATCATGACCAAGCATTTGACCCTAAAAGTTCTCATACTTTACAGACCGGTCATTCTTCACAGCACTGCCTTTGGCTGCCTCTATGTTAGAGCTACAGGCAGATGTTGCACACCAGCTCCAGTGGGTGGTGTGGCCTGGAGCCCTGTGGTAAGGGCTGTGTCTGGGCTTGGTGGGAAAGACCAGGAGGACCACTGTGGCCGGGTAGCAGGGTGGAGGCAGCAGCACATCCTGTGCCATGCAGCTCTGACCTTGTGAGGAATAGTGAGTTCTCTGACCAAGTGCTCCTTGCACCCTCACATGTGTTTGCCTACCGGTAAAGGGTGACATTGGTGGCCTATCAGAGGTCACCTGTTGGAGGGCCACCATCAGTGCACCCAGGGCGCTATCGGCATTGAACAAGGGGCGGAGGGGGCATTAGGTCATATTTTCCCTCTCCCTGCCAGAAATAAAAATACGTGGAAAATGTTCTTTTCCACATATTTGGATATTATGGGGAAAAGAAAATTTTAGATTTGTCTAATTGGGAATTGTAAAGCAGTTTTTAGCTTCATTTATACTAATCTAGTAATGGCTAAAAGTTCACAAATATAAATAGAAATAGTGAGATTATGTTTTTAGCTTACAATGAGGTACATAAATATGCTACAATTATATGGAGGACCTGTAGGTAAGAATACGGTTCTACCAAATCGTCAATCTGATCTATGCTAGATATCTGTCAGAGTGTGACCAAGTATGCTCACCTCCTCAAAGTTCAGAGAGCTTCGGGGATTAGTATCCATGTCCTGGAACAGTTTGATAAATGTCTGTAGTGGACACAGGCATTCAGAGTCACACCATTGGTCTCAGAAGGACACTTGAATGAGAATTTTCTTTAACATTTCCGTGGTCATATCTAAATAGTTGAAACCTGTTTAAGCAACTCATCAAACATTTAGAAAAACATCTCTTTCTGTGATTCCTTTGTTCATTTGTGCAGGCCACTCCCCTCTCCCTGCCAGAAATAAAAACCCCATCTGGGTGAGGGTGGGCAGGTGTGCTTGGAAGAGAATTGGCATGTTCCTTTGCCCAGTGTTTGAAGGAGGTAAAGAATTCATGACTGCCATTCACAGGATACCCGAGTGCCCGCTCCACACCAGACCCACACAGTGAGGATGCAACCATGAGGGAAAGTAGTGAGGGGGTGTGGTGCACAGAGAGAGTGACGTGGTTGTCTCATGGCCTCTGCGTGGTGGAGGAGGGCGCTGCCCAGGGAAGATGATTGTTAGAGACATCCGAAGTTCTAGTAGAGTTTAATAGAAGTGGAGAGGGAAGGCTGTACTAGGAAGGGGGTGCAGCATGGGCACACGTCCTAAGATGAGCCAGGGGAGGACCGAGCCTAAAGAGCTGAAAGAAGGCTGGCCAGTGTGATGAGGATGCTGAGAATGAAATGGAAGTGTGGGGTAAGGTGATGCCGGGCAGGTCGTTGGTGGGCCAGTTGTGTTAACTAAGAATTTCAGTTGCTATCCTAAAAGCAGTGGGAGCCTTGGGAAGGTCGGGTTGGGCGGATTGCATCACGTTTTAGTTCTGCAGCCCTGCACTTGGGCTGTGGTGTCAGTGTGGCTGTAGGATGGGTGCAGGGCTTGTTAGGAGACCAGCAGGGGGCTCAGTGAGGAGGTGAGGAGTTGAGGGCAGCCTGCAGAGGGTGGGTGGCGGAGATGGAGAAAATGGATAGATGAAGAGATGGGCAAAATCAGCAAACGGGGTGGAGAGAAGAGATGGCAAGGCTGTTGGTCAAGTAATTATTATGAAATTTACAGTAATAATACCTGTAGCCTACTTCTTGGCCTTTATTTGACAAGTTTCAGTGAACTGGAAAATTCAGTATCTTAAATTTTCCTTTTTTTCCTTAACATTAAAGGATTCTACCTTTCACTTAGCAAATTAAAAAGAAAAAGAGGTTTGTAATGCAAACCAGAATTGTTTTCTCTTATACTTCAAAATTCAGAATGGTTAGTAGTGTGGCAGTAGGCCGCAAAAGGACATTTTTTTAAGTTAAATCTAATGTGTTTTTTCCTCGTGATAATGGCTCTGTATGGAACCATTGCCACCCCTGCCCCCCTTTGTTTTTAAGATCTAGCTTCGTAAGTCATTATGAGGGGGAGTTGAGACAATGAAATAAGTTTTATTCTAAAAAGTCTACTGTATGTTTTGGACTTGAAAACAAAACAAGAATAATATTTAGTTGTAGAAGTTGTAGAACTTCACCTTACATCTATAGAAAATGATAAGGAAGGTTTTATTTTGGGATCAACAGTAAAAATAGTACTTGGTTTCTTAAGTGTAAACAGCATGATTTTTCTCTCTGTAAAGAGGCAAAAATTCTATAGTGTGGAAGTGTAGTCCAAAACAATGGTCATATGACAATTTGAGTTTAATCAAATGTACAGGGAATGAAGAATTCCATTCCCCAGTCACACTGCTGCAGTCCGCTCTCAGGGGTCCCCTGTGGCTAGTGGCCACATGCTGAGATTGGACAGCACAGGTGTTAATGGGGCCGTCTTGGCAGGAGGTTCTGTGGGGGTGCTGGTCCAGAAGCAAAGCAGAGCTGTGCAGGAGTCTGAGGATCTGAGCTCTGACCCCCAGATCAACACCCTGGCGGGGAATGCCCGTGTACACTTGTCACTCCGCTAAAGGACTCTCCCTAACGCACAGGGCATGTGCCACAGGAGTTCCAGCAACCCTGGGAACTATTTTCTAGATAAGATCAGCAAATTCAGTTGTTCTCAGGTCAGGTGGAAGTGAGGCGTGGAGGCTAGTCTTGGCTCTCAGCCAAGTTTCCTACCACTGATCTATACCCTGACAAGAACCTCCCTTGTGTGGCTTTCACTAACTTGATCGTCTTTGCCCTCCCTCAAAGCACACTTAACCACTGACCTTAAAATTCTTAACTCAAAGAACAGGTGGTGTGACAGCAAGTGAGGTGGAATTGGAGCGTTCTGACCACAGGGATGCATACAGAGCTGCCCTTTTCTGTGTGGGAACTAAAACTTCTTTAGGTCAAGTAGGTAATAGGGTTGGGTTTCAGACCTCAGAGAGAGATCTCAGGGGTGGATGGGGACACCAGTGGAGACACTAAATCTAATCTTGAAGGATTTGTGAGGTGACCTGCAGAGGCAAAAAACAGGAGACCCCTTTCAGATTCAGGCAAAGCTTATCAGGGGGTTGGGGCAGTGTCAGTACAAGGGTCAAAAGATAAGCTGAGAGTTTAGAGCTAGTAAAAGCAGAAGCCTCAGAAGCTGGATAGGGGGCACCTATAACCCCTGGGTTGATGCTGTTAAATGAAGAGATGGGCAGGATGCAAGTGGGCCTTCTCTAGAGCAGCGGTCGCCAACCTTTCGGACCTCACGGACCACCAGTGGCCCTCGGAGCACTGGAGCACTGGTTGGCAACCGCTGCTCTAGAGGGTGTTCTGTGGGCGATGAGTGAACGAAGTTCTCTGATGAGGTTAGTAAAGGGCTGGAATCACAAAAGAAGATCTTGGTGAATAAGAAAAGCAAAGGCGTGGTTGTAATGGAGCATAATATTTACAAACCATTTGTGTGCTTGACCCTCTGAAAAAGGGAATGATAGAGGCTAGGTATTTTAACAGGTGCAATGATGACGAGGCATAATTAACTCAATTTGTTGTAGATTAGGCTGTCCTGGGTTCACGCTGCCTGAGGTCAAACCCAACCCAGTCGAAGGAGGAGCTTCCAGGTCCCTCTTCTTTCCCGATGAAGCAATAAACAAGCACCCCCGCTTTAGGTGAGTATAGCTTTGTGTTTAAATACAGGTGCCCCTCACTCAGATCTCTGCCTTCTGAGAGGATGATAGGCCTGCCCGGGAATCCTTTTCAAGCATTTACTGAATTCTGGCTCCCTCTGTAATTAACCAGAGAAGACAATATATAATACACACACACATACACATGTACACACAAACACACACCTGTTGTGTACCCAAGGCTGCTTGATTATTGCTTCTGGGGCCAGGTTTGACTTGCCTATTTCCAACTCATCTTAAAGTCATTAACTTAGCCACTGTATTCTCCTTTAATGAGCAGATTATTTTCCATCCTAGTTCTGTAAACACCTATTTTGGGAAAGCTTTCCCGTAGTTATTTCTGCCTTGTTCTCCTCTAAGTTACCACCAGTATCTGTGTGATCTTTTCTTCCCATTCTGTATACCCTGGTAATAAGGTAAATTATGTACATCTGCATATAATAGGCACTCTCCACCTTTTGTTCTATTATAGTGGTTCTCAACCTTGGCTGCACATTAGAATCACCTGGGAATCTTTTTAAAATCCTGATTTCTGGGCTTCATCCTTTGGAAATTCTGTTTCTTTGTTACTAATGTTGTGGCCCCACCCCATAACAAACAGAATTTCTGGAGTATGAGGCCCAGAAATCAGGATTTTAAAAAGATTCCCAGGTGATTCTAATGTGCAGCCAAGGTTGAGAACCACTGTTCTATTATCTTCTAGGTCAGTGGTCGGCAAACTGCGGCTCTCGAGCCACATGAGGCTCTTTGGCCCCTTGAGGGTGGCTCTTCCTAAGCCTTAGGAGTACCCTAATTAAGTTAATAACAGTGTACCTACCTATATAGTTTAAGAAATTTGGCTCTCAAAAGAAATTTCAATTGTCGTACTGTTGATATTTGGCTCTGTTGACAAATGAGTTTGCCAACTACTGTTCTAGGTCTTTTTGTGTTTAATTCTTGGGTTTAAGTTGCTTCAGGGCCCACACCAGTCTAATAGCTTTGTACCTTGAGTCTCACCCTTCATCCTGAACCTGGCGCCTGACCTAGAGTTAGGGATGTTGGGACTTGTCAGTACTCATTTTTAAGAGGTCTGCAAAGTTTTTGGGGGGAGACAAAGATTTATAGACATAGTTCCCAACTTCAAACGTTAGAGTGTGCGAAGGGGAAAATAGATATTCAGCTGCAAGAAAAGATAGATTATGACTCTGTTAAAAAAAAAAAAAAAAAGGTAGCATTGCCCTGGCTGGCCAGTGGCTCCGTTGGTTAGAGCATCATTCTGCACACCAAAAGGTTGCAGGTTAGATTCCCATTCGGGGCACATACATACCTAGGTTGTGGGTTCAATCCTCGATTGGGGCGCGTATAAGGGGCAACTGATTGTTGTTTCTCCCTTTCTCTCTAACAGAGACAATATAAACATATCCTCTGGTGAGATTAAAAAAAGAAAATGGGAGTGCAGGGATCCTCCTGGGAGAGAGCAGGTGCTTCTGACGGAGAGGATCCATGCAGGCTCATGAGGCGATGGCACTGAGTCTACAGCGGCACTCTCCAACAGGATGTTAGTTTAAATTTTCTAGTAGCCACATTTAAAAAGTTAAAAATGTAGACTTGGCTTTATAATATATTTTATTTAACCCTATATATCTAAAATATTATTTCACCTTATGATCTATTTTTAAAGTATTAATATGAAATTTTTTTATACTAAGTTGTCAAAATCTGGTGTGTATTTTTCTCCTCCCAGCATATTTTTATCAGGACTAGCTACACTTCAGGTGCTCAGTAGCCACATTTGCTTGGTAGCTCCTAGATTAGACATCACAGGTCTAGAGGATAAGTATTAAAGCTGCAGGTTGGGAGCAGCAGTAATGAGGTCTTGGGGCTCCAGAGATGCCTGGGAGAGCAAGGCATCTTTTAACTAAAGTTTGGTTAAAGTCTTTGTAATGTGGGAAGTGTTAGAGGTGCAGGGTGAGACCAGACCCTGCGGACTCCAAACACTGAGTTAGGAGGCGCAGGGGTGAAGCAGGGGAGAGAATGGCAGTCTTGAGTAAGCACCCAGGGGAGTGGTATTAATGTGAAGCCCTTTTTCGGAGGATCGCTCAGGGTATCTTGATCCATATAAATTATCTAGAGTGGCCCCAGAATTAGTTTGAAGGTACAGGATGTCATTCATTTACTTGTATATGATCAAATTTTCTTTTACATAATGGGTCTTTGGTACCGATGGGACTGATGGACGGTGTTTGGTTGTCTGTTTCAGCACCCTAACCAGAAATATCCGGCACAGGAGAGGAGAAAAGGTGGTCATCAATGCACCAAGTGAGTCCACAGGCGTGGCAGGTGGAGAGGTTCCTGTGGAGTTGTTGTTTAATCCTTGGCTCTCACCCATTTCTTTTCTTTTTTTTTTTAATACAGTATTTAAAGATAAGAACACACCGTCTCCGTTTATAGAAACATTTCCTGAGGATGACGAGGCGGCCAAGGCTTCAAAGCCAGATCACATCTACATGGACGCCATGGGATTTGGGATGGGCAATTGCTGTCTTCAGGTACTAGCTCCCAGGCAGAGGCGAGTGCCCTCGCCCACTTCTCTCTATAACTTCTGTCCTTGACAGGTTTGTGTTTCCGTTTTAAAAATCATATTTAATCAGGTTGAAAAGGTAGCTGGTATGCTTTTCTGAAAACCAGTGAAGTTATTTTAGTAAATTCGTTGGAAACGCTCTCTTGACAGAGAATTGACAGACTCTGCCTTCCACTGCAGGGATGCGTAGTTGTTGATTAACATAAAATGTGAACTGTTCCCAGTCACTGTCTCTGTTCTTTCTATAAGCCTGATTTTTGCTGCCATCTAGCGACAGTGTAGCTTTGAGGTTATAAACATGGCTTCGATCTCTTGTTTCTGAAAGTGAAGTCTAATAGATGCATTCCAGTGATTTTGTCATCAAGGGAAGGACTGTTTGGACTTTAAATCTTTATATTCATGTGAGGCCACCTGGCAGCATAAAAAGAAAACAGCCTGAATTTGCCCTGCCCCTGGCTGAGTTACACAGGAGGTAGAACAGCCGTTCTGACCTAATCAGATCACGGAGCCCCTGGCAGGGACTGTGCCCAGGCTCACTTAGGGCCTGGGGGGCAGAGCCCGGGACTCCTCAGGCAGCGCAGGGCCTGGCTACTCTGGTATTTGGGTAACTTCCTTCACTTTTTTTGGCCTGTTTTCTCAGCAGTTTAAAGAAGGGTTTATATTAAGACCTCTTCTAGGTCTGACTCCAAGCTAATATTTACTTCTGTTCATAAAAACAATGAAATATTTATTTTTAATCTTTATTTAAAATCCTCTCAGAACAAGAGTTGAAAATTTGAAAAATATCAAAGAAAAGGGAGCCTCTTGTTATTTAAGGAGGTTTTATCTAGGTCTCATTATTTCAGCTGATTAGGAACAGTGTTCTTGGAGCAGCACCAGGCATTGTCCCCACGTAAGGGCCCCTGGACCTCCAGCCCGAGCACTTTCGACACAGGGGCCGGGAAACCAGCCTCCCCATCATCTCAAACAGCTGCAGCACAGGCACACACCTTCCTGCACATATCTCTAATGCATTTATTTTCACGGCTATGTGGAATCAAAATCGGCTGCCAGGGTCCGAGTTTTCCGTGCTAAATGTGTTTCAGTAACCATGGCCAAGGGTACAGTTTTCTCCTGCTTTTCCTGACTTCCATAGGTAGTATAAAGTATGTGGCTTCCAAATAAACAGGCCAGCAAGTTTCCTTACACATGGCCGCACTTCATAAAAAAGGAGACCTTTTGACTGTTAACTGCTTATCTGCCTCCCTATCTTAATTACAAATATTTCCAAAGAGAACCATTAAGCTCTAGAACTCTCAGTGCACAGCTTTAAAACTCTATTGGTGCTGTGGGAGAACCGCTTGCCTTTTTTTGGTTTAATATTAAACCAAGGTGTTCGCCAGGGACATTGCAGTTGTTCTGTTCCAAAGGGCTATTCTTTGAAATGCTGTATTTTTACAAATAAATGCAGTCTCATGCTATCTACCAGCCACATTTTTATTGCTGGTTGATATAGTTTTCTATCCAATTTAAGCTTTGTCATGGGTTTAAATTTCTTTTTCTCAATGGTACGTCCAATACCCAGTGTCAGTACTGAAAAAATTGGTACAGATGTGAAGTGTGTGGCACAGATGTGAAGTTGTGGCAGAAACAACTTCCACAATTCAACACAGAGCTTCCTGCTGTGAATCTCTTTAGTGGAACACTAGCAACTGCTTATTACGGTAAAGCAGAAAAAAATGTTTAAAAAGTAATTGAAGATTAATGGAAAATTTACAAGACAAATCATTTAACCACATTCAAAATTGACTCTTGGGAGCTTTTCAGTAATCATTTATTTATTTATTAAAAAATATATTTTATTGATTTTTTTTACAGAGAGGAAGGGAGAGGGATAGAGAGTTAGAAACATCGATGAGAGAGAAACATCGATCAGCTGCCTCCTGCACACCTCCTATTGGGGATGTGCTCACAACCAAGGTACATGCCCTTGACCGGAATCGAACTTGGGACCTTTCAGTCCATAGGCCAACGCTCTATCCACTGAGCCAAACCGGATAGGGCTTCAGTAATCATTTAATGAGTTCATGTCAGTAAGTTCCTGTGTGTTGTAAGAGGTCTCCCCACACCCAGAAAATCATGTGGCTTTAAACTGGGTTCTAGATAAATTTTAAATATACTTGTATTGATTTCAGAGAGGAAGGGAGAGAGAAAGATCAATGATGAGAAAGAATCATCGGTCGGCTGCCTCCTGCACACCCCTGTGGGGGATCGAGCCCACAACCCGGGCATGTGCCCTGAACGGGAATCTAACCATCACCTCTTGGGTCATAGGTCAAAGCTCAACCACTGAGCTACACCGGCTGGGCCTAGATAAATTTCAGATTACATATTTAGGTTTTTAACATCTACTGGTATTTTTCATACACTCATTTTTCCCCTCTCATCAGTTTCCTGGTGACATTGCTTCTCTTCTTCTTTTTTTTTAAAATCTTTTTTATTGATTTTTTTACAGAGAGGAAGTGAGAGGGATAGAGAGTTAGAAACATCGATCAGCTGCCTCCTGCACACCCCCTACTGGGGATGTGCTCACAACCAAGGTACATGCCCTGGGCTGGAATCGAACCTGGGACCCTTCAGTCCACAGGCTGACACTCTATCCACTGAGCCAAACCAGTTAGGGCGCTTCTCTTCTTTAAATACTTTAAATGGATACCAGAAGCCAACTGTTCATATATTTACACCTTTTTAAGGTATTAGAACTTTTTTCCTTTCTCCACTAAGCCTTTATCTGCAGTGATGTTGCATTTGGTTTGGTAACTATGGTATCAGCTCTAGAGTAAGGAGGATAGTAAGTGGATTTAGAATAAGCCGCTGTGCTGTTGTAACGCAGCTATTGAATTCCAGGTGCTAATTTTCTAACTCGTCTAGGGTTGGCTTTCCCAGGATCTGCCTGTGGATGAGCTAGTATGCAGTAGGCCAGTTAACAGAACCCAGTCACAAAACTGAAAAGAAACAATGCTCACTGTACTATCTTTTTAAGAACAAAAGTCACAGACACACACTAAAATTTTTAGAAGTGCTGAATAGGACCCAAGTAAAGTAGAGAAGTCTATTCAGAAGAATTCAGCAGTCAAAATACTTGGGGAACATTTAAGTGCTTGTAATCTCAATCCATGTGAATTTGGCCCATGGGGTCACAGTTTTTCAAGTATCTCATCTCACCATTTTATTAAAATAAAACTTACCTTTGCCCGTGTGTTCTCCTCTATAACACCCTCATTCCTTCAAGATACTGTATAAATGTAATAAATATCTATTATACTAAGTAGGCATCAGACACTGTTCTTCACACTTGGCATAGACATCCCTGCTGTGCTGGAGGTTTCTGTGGTGGGGTCACAGCAGATAAGTGAGTAAATACTTTGTGCACCCTCCCCCATCTCCTCACTTCTCGTTTACCCCTTACCCAGCACAGACTAATTTCCGAGTTTCTGCCTCTTTCCAGACACTACCCTCCTTCTGGTTATCAGTGACCTAGTTGCCAGCCCTGCTCAATCTTTATCTGTTTAACCTTTGATACTCTTATTCGTTGATGTCTATGACTCAGCTCTTCTCTGGGTTGAATTAATCTGTAATGGCTGGGCAATTATTACATTTTACTGAAAACATAGCCTTAGCATAGGAAGTGTAGGAAGATCAGGACACAGTAACCTGTCTGAAAGATTGTTTTCTATAGTCACCACGCTGACCTGAGATGCCACTGTGAGTCAGCAGGTGCACCTGTGACTCCAACAGCAGTTCTTGGCTTTTAAGAATGCAAAGTTGAGACCTGGCTAAAACTATTGGAACTAACATGTTGGTTTAGCTATTTCAAGTATTAAGCAATTTAAGTAATTTCCTGTGCCAACATTAAATTCAAATTATCATCTTATATAATAAAAGTATAATATGCAAATCGACCAAACGGCAGAACAACTGGTCAGCAGAAGTGGGGCCGGTGAGCAGGCAGTGCCCGGCCAGCCAAGGTGCATGCCAGCGGACAGAGGGAGGGAATGGTGGTGGGGGGTGGCAGTGAGTAATGGTGGCGGAGGGGTGATGGGGGGGGCGGGGCTGGCCACTTGTCGGCCGGTGCCGTCCCCTGATTGACCCGCCTGGTCGCCTCCTGCAGAGGGAGGCCATGGGTGGCAGCAGTGGCAGGGCGATGGGGTTGGGGCCGGCCACTCGCCATCCCCTGATTGGCCTGCCCAGTCGCCTCCTGCAGAGGGAGGCCAGACTGTGGCTTAGGCCTGCTCCTGGTGGGGAGCGGGCCTAAGCCGTCAGTCAGACATCCCCTGAGGGCTCCTGGACTGCAAGAGGGTGCAGGCCAGCCTGAGAGACAGCCCCCCTCCCCAAGTGCATGTATTTTTGTGCACCAGGCCTCTAGTCCTATGTAATCCTATATAATAAAGTGCTAATGTGCAAATAAATGATTGTCACGCCCTCGTGCTGTGGCCGGGGGACCTGAGGCTGTGCTCGCCCTGCAGGGCTTGATGGGGGTGGGGCCAGCCGGGTCTGGGTCTCGCGCGATTTTGAGGCACACGCGGGGGTGCGGGGACTAGACTCTGGGTCCCACGGCGCACCCCAGGCTCTGACAGGAGAGTTTCATATACATTTTACTAATTTTCTTTCATCTCTGACACTTCTATTATAGAGAAAGGACAAATAGCAATATTAAAATATTTCCTCTAATTCCCTTTTAATGTGCACAAATTTTGTGCACCAGGCCATTAGTTATTAAATAACAGTGACAGGAAATTAGAACTGTTCCCAATTTGCAGTTAATGTAGATGTGCCAACACAACCACAATTTATATCCCTTGCTCCCTTCCACTGCTCCCAGTGTCCTGCTCCAAAAAAGGTAGAACATTTTTTTAGATTCTTTTTAGTAGTTATTTGTGGAGGATTTGTACTAATCATTATGTGATCTTTTTCTCTGCCTAACTCTTAAATGTCCTACTTACCCATCATGTGCAGACTCTCTAGGTCAGCGGTTCTCAACCTGTGGGTCAAGACCCCTTTGTCAGTCGAATGACCCTTTCACAGGGGTCGCCTAAGACCATCCTCCATATCAGATATTTACATTACGATTCATAACAGTAGCAACATTACAGTTATGAAGTAGCAACAAAAATAATTTTATGGTTGAGGAACATGAGGAACTGTATTTAAAGGGCCAGAAGGTTCAGAACCACTGCTCTAGGTGATCTGCCCATCTTCAGGACATCATCTGAGCCTACTCCCCAAATATTTCTCCAGCCCAGGTTTTTCTTCTAGGCACCAGTTCTGGACCCAGCCACTTACAGGGCGGCTTTCTTTGTCTGTCTGTCCTTGGCTCCGTAAGCCTTTGCCTCTTCTTCCTGTCTGTCCTGGGAGCACCCAAGCCAAGTGCTAAGTCACACCCTCACTCTCTCTACCCTGTGGCCTCAAGAGCTGGCTGCCTTGTTCCAGTGTGCTCAACTTTTTCTTAGGCGGTTGCAGCATTTGAATTTCTCTGCCTTCCTCCAGTCTTGCCCCTTCCAAGCTGTTTACCAGTGCACTCTGAACCCATCCTCGGTATCTCCAAGTCCCCTTTTCACCAAAATGCATGTAACCTCTCAGCCAACTGAAGTGAATGGGAAGCTCTTGAAAGAAACCAGTAGAAGAGGAAATGCCTTAATGAACTTTATCATTTATCTAATGTCTTGTTTTTCTTCATTGACTTTTAAAATCTTATGTTAGTTTTGAACATGATTAAATACCACTTTCTAGCAAAATTCGTCTAGGACAAGCTTTTAAACAAACTCCTGTATTAAACGTTTCATCAATGGAATGACCATTACATACCAGGCCCCTCCCTTCTTCAGTCTTCTTCTCAGACTTCACTCCTAGGGGAGGATGTTAATAATTCTTTGTTGTTAATAACTTGCAATTCTTACACAGGTAACGTTCCAAGCCTGCAGCATTTCCGAGGCTAGATACCTGTATGATCAGTTGGCCACTATCTGCCCAATTGTCGTAAGTAGAAATCATATCTTACTTTAAATTCTTCTTTGCATAGAATAAAGACCGCATGTCCGAAGTTTGCTGAGTGTGCTAGTTAAGTCCATTTCAGACTTCATTCAGAAATGAACTAACCCAGATAATATGTAGATTAAGAACCAGTGGACTCAGTCTAAGCTGTAGACTGTTACTGTTGCTAGGAAGACATTTATGTGCTAAAGTGTTAAGTTCCAGTATAGCCATCTTCCCTCTTCCATCCTTCATGTCCTCACATTAGAGAGAGGATGTTAAATGTACCAGATGCAGGGATTCAAGTCACTCCTGGGGTATTCCACTATGAGAAACAGGCACAGACAGTGCAGTAGAGCTGTGTTGCATAACTGATTCTTCGTGACCAGAGATAACTGCATGGAGCTTTTTTCAGCATGAAAGTGACATTTTGAACCTGCAGGTGCTGACTTCTGTTTGTTTTTAGATGGCTTTGAGTGCTGCGTCTCCTTTTTACCGAGGCTATGTGTCAGACGTTGATTGTCGCTGGGGCGTGATTTCTGCATCTGTAGATGATAGAACTCGGGAGGAGAGAGGACTGGAGGTGGGAATGATTTTTCCTTCATAGCCTTTTTATATCAAGCAGATCAACCAGAGCTATTGTAATAACCACTTGTGATTGTGAAGTTTCCCTCAAATTTTTATCTTGAGTCACACATGGGAAGAAATTCATCGGTTATAAACCTATCTTTGTGGTCTTTGGCTTTAAAGTGTTTGTTCTGGGGTGAATATGTGGAAATGTGATTTGGTTTGGGGGGGGGGTTTAATTTTCATCATTTGTTGAAATCTGTATTTATTTTATCTTCTAAATTAATAGTGTAGTTTTTGTTTTTAATATTTTGGCAGTCACTGCTGATGGCTGTTTTTACCAAATGCTTTTTGGCGCTACATGAGTGCTTTGTATATGATGCTTTCTGCCGTGGAAAGTATACTCTGTTGTCACAGATTTTTTGCCCCATATGAAGGGTTAGGTTTTGCCTTATAAGGGTCAGTTAGTGCCTCTTGTTTGCCTCTTGTTTGAATTGTGACCTTGCATTTCTCCAACCAACAGTATCCATCAGAACCACCTCTGGAGATCTTTAAAAAAATAGACCCCTGGCCCATCTCAGACCTTTAATAAGTTTTCTAGGACTGGAACCTTGACATAGGTGTTTTTAAAGGAGCCCTCCCAAGTAACTCTGATGTTCTGAACCAGGGCACACTACTGCTACTCTGCTCTTCATGCAATTGCTCATAAATTGTTGAACATGCTTTCTAAAAATAAACGAACTTCAAAGGAGAAATCATTTTGATAGTTTTCTTTTACAGTATAGGCTTTTTATTAATCATTTTGCTGTCAATCTTGGCATTTATTTTTGAAGCTTAATAAGAATGAAGGTGATGTGCTTTAAAAAAGAAAAAAGTTAAGGTATATTTAAATCATCAGGCAAAAAGGCTACTTAAAAATGAGGGGGGGGGGGGAAGGCTACTTAATTTATCCAGGCTTTTTAAATATAATTTTCCCTAATATTACTTTTCAGTGTTAACTTATTTTTTCAGAGTCTTATGTTAAGGTTAGACATTTTTATATAATCATTATATATAAAAACATACGGCATTTTAATGTAATTATTTGGGGCATTAGTTTATTTCCAAATGATTTTATATGGCATTCATTCACATTTTTTAAATTTTAGCCACTGAAGAACAGTAACTATAGGATTAGTAAATCCCGATATGATTCAATAGACAGTTATCTGTCTGAGTGTGGAGAGAAGTACAATGACATCGACTTGACAATAGATAAAGAAATCTACGAGCAGCTGATGCAGGAAGGTGAGCATCCATGTCTTTTTTCCTAGATTTGACTGTACGCCTTTAGTTCTTCAAAACTCTTTTAAACTTTTTTTGCTGACTCTTGGTCTGGTTTCTGTTTTTAGTGTGAAGTCTCTAACTTTTCTTAGGAGGCTGCTTGTTCCTAAAGTTTCAAATTCCAAATACTTGTGAGATCTTCTTGGCTTTTAGCAAAAAGAACTTACTTTGGAGGTCTGTATCTAGGCCCCCACCAGTGCCCCAACAGGCATTGTGTAAGTAGCGAGTGAAACTCCGGCGCTTCCCCAGGGCCCGTAGGATAAGGGCCTGGGCAACATGAGTTACCGAACACACCAGCCATTGCCTGAGCTTCTAGACACCCGCTCTTCAACCTCCTGAGCTCTGGATCTCCAGAACTTGGCTGGAGATCCTGGCTGGAGATCCTGGCTAGGCTGCTGATCAACTGAACTCCGTCTCCGTGTCATTCCTTTTCGCCGACTCCATCCACACCTCTGGGGACCCCTGGACCTGCTGGGGTTGGACTCCGGCATCCGGCACTGAGCTGTCCGTCTTCCTTTGGGACTTAGCGGACAGTGGAGTCTTGAGCTGTGTAGTGAGTCCAGTGCAACCTCTCTTTGCAGGCATTGACCACCTCCTGGCCCAGCATGTTGCTCATCTCTTTATCAGAGACCCGCTGACTCTGTTTGAAGAGAAAATACACCTGGACGATGCCAATGAGTCTGACCATTTTGAGGTAGTTCCTGTTTTAAATGCATTTTTATCTCACTAACCAAGACGGAGGCAGTTTTCTGTGTCTGTGAGAAATTGGCCAGTGGAAACCTCACATGCCTTTCATTATCCAGTGCAGTATAAAACCAAGACAAATTTTAAATTGGTTCAAGGTACTTTTATTATGATTCTTACAGGTTATAGCTCCAGTTCTAAATTTCTTATTCTGTATTTTCTCTTGTTTGCAGCATGGTGAAAAGTTCAAGCATGCTACATAAAAATAACCTGATCAGTTATTTCAGAGCTGCTGGCATATAACCAACTTTTATTAAACACTTGCTGTTTGTTTTCCTAGCAGGTCACATTCCAAGAAAATCTTAAGTTGTACCTTTTTGTACTTATAAACTGAAGAGTATTAGGTATGGACAGCAAGCAGTCTCCCCTCATTAACTATCAAGTCATCTTAATATTTTCTGGGGCCTATGGAAAGTTGGTTTTATTCTCTGCCTTTTTTATTATAGAACATTCAGTCCACAAATTGGCAGACAATGAGATTTAAGCCTCCTCCTCCAAACTCAGACATTGGATGGAGAGTGGAGTTCCGGCCCATGGAGGTAAGACGCGCATCAGCAGGAGCGAACTCACACACCCGTCTTCTGAATGCCCATGACCCCGTGACGCTCTTAGCAGAGGCTCCTAAATTAACTGGAAACCGTAACAGATCAAGTGTGTGCACGCAGTGAGCGCGTCCAGAAGCTAAGGAGGGTTGATTTCTGAGAATAGATTGTGAGCAGACTCAGACCCTGGTGGGGAATTGGGGGATGACGTGATCCAAGGAGGGCTTTGTTGGGGAGTGGCTTGTGTGGTGGGTTCCTAACTTCTGGGCTCCTGCTTGTCTAGGTTCAGTTAACAGACTTCGAGAACTCGGCATATGTGGTGTTTGTGGTGCTGCTCACGAGAGTGATCCTTTCCTACAAATTAGATTTTCTCATTCCGCTGTCAAAGGTAAGAGTGTGATAAAGGGTAGCAGCGGGTCTAGATAGCTGTGACTATTCTGTTCATTTGTATGTCATATTTATTTTAAATGTGACCTCATTTAGAATTGTTCACCTTTTAGAATAAAATGCTTCTCCCGCCACCTTATTGTTTTTTTCCTTTTTGATGCTACACTGGTGGAAACTCCTGAAAAAGTGCTAACAGTGGTTTCTTACTCAGCCCATTTGAAAGATAGTGGTTGGAGTGAGTCCCACAAACAGATTTCATCCTCCCCACCATCTTATTTTGGTGACAGTAGTAAGCCTAGGGTGTGAGGAGAAAGGGTACCTGCTGTGGGGCTGAACTGGAGCTGTTCCTGGAGAATGTGATGGCTTGGACCATCAGAAAAACAAATCCAATAAAAAACAGAAAAGGAAACTCCGGGAAGCAGTTTCCTGGCAGAGCCTCAGAACAGTTCCAGGCTGTGAGGCAGCAAGTAGAAGGTTTGGTTCCCGGGCCAGTAGGTGTGTTGGCAGAGAGAGAGGCTGGGAAAGCTGCGGGCAGAGCGAGGGGTCTGGTGAGGTGTGAGGGCAGAGCGAGGAGAAGAGCAGCCCCGTCCCAGCAAGTGTGGAAGGAGGAAGAAGCCGCTGCTCCCTCTCCCCCGGGGGCACCGCAGCTGCCCTGTCCCCCCAGACCCGGGAGGCAGTCTGGCTGCCAGCTCGTCCCTGCCTGCTCTCACACCCAGGCCGAAGGGGACCATGGAGTCCCGCGGCCCATGTTGCACACCAGGTGTGCCTGTTGGGGAGAGCAGCCTGTCTGAGGCACAGTCCATGGAAGCTACCAGTCTAAGCCTTTGTTTACAATAGATGTCTAAATGTCAGTAGGAAACCAAGAACTTTTAATGGCCTTAAAGAGCCTACAAAAAGTATATTATCCTCAGTGAAACACAGCTAATTCAAGAAATTGGAAAAAACTCTTAAAGAAATTCTAGAGAAGGCTCACATCCATGAAACACGCACTGTGGACCACCGAGCATTTGGAGAATAGTTGCTAGAAACAAAGAACAATGGTAGCCACAATTTTAAAACTCAGTAAATGGCCCAGCCAGTTTGGCTCAGAGGATAGTGCCTGCCCAAGGACTGAGGGTCCTGGGTCTGATTCCTGTCAAGGGCACATACCTTGGTTGCAGGCTCAGTCCCCAGCCCTGGTTGGGGTACATTTGGGAGACAACCAATCTATGTGTCTGTCCCCCCCCCTCCCCCGCTTCCCACATTCTCTAAAAATCAATGGAAAAATATCCTCAGGTGAGGATTAACAACAAAGATAAACCACACCTCAGATATTGAAGATCAAAGTCAGTGATTTAGGAAGCCAAAGTGGGATCCAGCCCAGCAGATGGCAAAGAAATGAAGAACTGGAACATGGAAAATTGTTCTGGAAAGTTCAGTGTTTGTGTAATTTAGAAGAAAAGAATAGTCTATATCGGGTGGAGAACCATTTTTCTGCCAAGGGCCATTGGATATTTATAACATTACTAGTGGCCCAGTGCACAAAATTTGTGCGCGGGGAGAGGGGGTGTCCCTCAGCCCGGCCTGCACTCTCTCCAATCTGGGACCCCTCGGGGAACATCCCTCTCACAATCTGGGACTGCTGCCTCCTAACCACTCACCTGCCCACCTGCCAGATTGCCCCTAGCCACTCTGCCTGCCAGCCTGCTCACCCTCCCCCGGCCTGATTGCCCGTAACTGCCTCTGCCTCTGCCTCGCCACCATGGCTTTGTCCGGAAGGTCTAATTAGCATATTATCCTTTTATTAGCATAGATTTGCTTAATATAAATGTATGTTGCTATGTTAAAAGCTCCTAAGTTTATTGAATTTTGAGTCCTGCGGGCAGTTGCCTTGGCAGGGCCAGACCAAATGGTTTCTCCGGCCTCATATGGCCCATGAGCCAGGCACTCCCTCCCCCAGCCCGGTCTGTATAAAAGAGATGTAAGATATGGTAATCAAGGAAATAAGACAATTTTCCCTGTAAGAGTCCATTAGGTCTAGAGATAAATATTTAAAGAAGAACCCACTAGGAATTTCTGAATCTCAAAGAAAAATAACAGCTGTCTAGATAGAATTAGGATAGCTGCCAAGAGGGTGAAAAACAAACAGTTTATCACTTCTATCACTTCTCATCTACAACAATAAATAGTAAAAGAGACTGAGAAAGGTCTTCAGAATCCTGAGGGGTTAAAAATCACAACCATCGAATTGTCTTCCAGTCAAATTATTCTTTAAATTCCAGGTAATTCTAACAAAACTTGATAGATTATTAGGGCTAAAAGTATGCCAGAAGTCTTACCTAGTGAAGGACAGTGGAGGAGAAGGATGGTAGATACTCTGTAATACTTGGCATTTAGAGAGAATTCAAAACTACTTGTTTAAAAGAAAAACTAGTAATAGATAGCTACAGGTTAATAGTAAATCCTACTATTAACTATCTACTATTAACCTGCAGCTAAAAGGTGTGGGGTCAGGGGAGTGTAAGACAGGATAGCCCAGAGAGCATAAAATGGTTAAAAAAAAAAAAAGACAACAAACTTGAATAAACTCTCCTATTAAAAAGCTGAAACAGGTAATATAGCAACATAATGGCATCTATTGTTTGCATACAATATGCCTAAAATAAGGACAGTGTGGAAAATAGCTATCTTTGAAAAAGATAACCATATTGACAAATGTGATAGAAAGTATATAAATGGGATAGAGGAAGCAGTTTTCTTTACCTTAGAAAATCAGTGTTAGACTCATGATTCTCTTTACCCCATAAAGTGTAGCAAACATTTTTCAGAAGCATAAGAAGCATTTAACGGCACTGTGGTATGGTAGATACGGCTTTATCAGGCCGATGCTCTATCCACTGAACCAAAACGGCTAGGGCAGCGACCATGGTGGAATTTTAGCCTGTATTTGAATATGTTTCTAGAAGTCCCTAGATTATTCAGGTCATATGTGTCTTTAAAAAACAACAGTAGGAATTAATGAATACAGTGAAGAGGCTAAGTCATCCAAGACTTTGAATAGCCCATGCTAGTTCAGTGTGACCCTCTAACTTGTGTCTTTCATATATTGAGAATCCTCTCAGATTTCATTATAGGAAGTAAGGGATTACTAAGAAGTTTTGAAAGCTCTTTGTGAGTCTTAAAAAGTCACTGGAGAAATGGAGAATTCACGAATGGCGAGGTTTTGGTCTGTTGAATAAGTGGACACGGCCAGGGCAAACAGTGTTGCTGACCCTCTGCCCCCGGAGAGCTGAGCTCAGTCCAGATCTGACGACAATGTGAGGCAGCAAAACCCCGGGGCGGTGGGGGGCAGAGCACTGACCTGGGAGCCAGGGCTGGGTTCCCTGCCTTTCCTCACCTGGGCCTCGGACGAGTCCTGTGCTGTGTAAAGGGAGCCAGCCACCTGCCCTCAGACAGGTTTCCTGGAAGGCCAGTCACAAAGGTGCCTTGAAATGCAGGCAGCCACGTGATTCTATGCTTTTGTTTTTTTAAGGTGAGCTTCTCTTTTCCCCCATTATTGTTAAAAAGCACATACCAATTTGTGGTTGAGTGACACAGTCCCCACATAAAGGTGAAAAGTCCGCTCTTCTGACCAGAAACCACGGGAAGGACAGTAGAATTCTTGAGGGAGGCGAGTCCTGATGGCAGAAGTGACGGAGGCACGGCTGGTTGGTCAAGAGTGTTCTGACTTGGGCATGTTCTTTTTCTCCCCTAGGTTGATGAAAACATGAAAGTCGCACAGAAACGAGATGCTGTCCTGCAGGGAATGTTCTACTTCAGGAAAGATATTTGCAAAGGTATTACATCCTCTTGGACTTCTGGGGCCACTTAGGCTACAACAGGCCACTAACGCTGCTCTGCCATCACCAGCAGGTGGCAACGCTGTGGTGGACGGCTGTGGCAAGGCCCAGCAGGGCGCGGAGCTGGCCGCAGAGGAGCACGAGGAGTATGCCCTGATGAGCATAGACACCATCATCAATGGGAAGGTAGGGTCCTGTGCGCCCACTGCCTGCCGGCCGGCCGACACCCACAGGCAGGGAGCTCATGGCATCTCCTGCTTCGTGCAGGAAGGCGTGTTTCCTGGGCTGATCCCCATTCTGAACTCCTACCTGGAAAACATGGAAGTGGATGTGGACACCAGATGTAGCATTCTGAACTACCTGAAGCTGATTAAGAAGAGAGCATCTGGTATGGTATCCTTTGCTTTCTTTTTTCTTTAAAAACAAATCTCAATGTAGGCAGAATCTCACAATCTTAAAATACTCAGATTCTTAAAGTCACCAACTTTTTAGACCTCACGGACCACCAGTGGTCCACAGACCACCGGTTGGCGACCACTGTTTTAAAGGATGCATTTATTAATACACACCTTTCACATTTTGACATCTCTACAATCAGATACACCTTATAATCTCTGATAGTCACAGTTTAATTAGTGCTCTATTTTTTAATACTGATTCATCAAATTGGTGCATCTTTAAGTCGATGGCATTGTAGAGAATGCAACACAGTGCCTGGCTGTGACTGAAGTCCAGCCGTGTTCATTGTGCACCATCACGGGCTCTTTTTGTAGGGCTGAGTAACTCTGTAAGGTAAATAAGCAACACAGCGAGGGCGTCGGGGTCTTCAGCCTGCTGCATACAGTGAGCACCCCAGGAACCCCACCTCTGTTAGCCAGGGGAGCCGTCAGCTGTGAACCAGAGCAACGGTGATGGTGGTAATGGCATCTGTATTTTACAAAGGACGTACCCCCAGTGGTATGTCTGCCAGTTTCCCATTCCACTTACTGTTCTTTTCTCTCTACCTCTTTGACCAAAGGTCGCTCTGGCAAACGCGGGACCTGCTGTCCTCTGAGGTAGTCTCATGACACGGCCAGCATATGTGGTCTTCGCCCTTTGGCCAAATGGGAGGCCGCGTGCGTTAGTGCACGTGCTGGCTCTCGTTTCTTACGAGCTGGCAGTGTCGGTCAGTGTGCGGGCAGCATCTGCCAGGCAGCACTGGGATGTGTGTGGTCTAGTTGCCTGCCTGCAGCCTGAAATTCTTTTCCAGGAGGAGTCCTGCAAACACTATGGAAAGCATGCTTTCCCAGCCCCGCCACCTGGCCACACCAAAGGTCACGCTGCTTTTTCTTCAGGATTATGCATCCTGGCCAAATGTCAACTTGTATTTTAAAAAGCACTACTATTAAAGTGTCCTAAAATTTTTTTTTCTTTTTCAGGAGAACTAATGACAGTCGCCAAATGGATGAGGGAGTTTATCGCAAACCATCCCGACTACAAGCAAGACAGTGTAATAACTGATCAAATAAACTATAGTCTTATTTTAAAGTGCAACCAAATTGCAAATGAATTATGTGAATGCCCAGAGTTACTTGGACCAGCATTTAGGAGAGGAAGATATAGCGGAAGTAAAATGGACTCTTCCAACTAGGCCCCTGCAGAGGGACTCGCTTGCTGTTTCATCGGAGAACTGGCCGCAGCTCCAGCCAGAGCCTGGTGTGACCAGGTTAGCAGGACCATACCGGCTCCTGGACCCATGGGCCGGAAATGGCCTGAGAGGCTCCGGCTCCCTTCAGCGGATAAATCTAGAGTTTTTACAATGAACCTGTACATAGTAAAGTATTTTTATGATTAACAATGTATTTTAATAACATATCTAAAGTGTGGACTGGCTTGTACATTTCCCAATTCTCACTCTGGAGCAACAACTGCCCAAGCAGTTTTGTAAATGTGATGTTCTAGTAATTGTACTATATCTGCATTCCAGAGTTCAAAATGTTTACTGTAAATATTTGTGGGTGTTTTTTGTTTTTTTTTAAAGACTTTACCTGGACCCGATTCACTGAAATTTATCACTTCACTTTAAAACCAGTTTGTCTTATTGATGTTCTTTCAGTCATCTCCTTTGTTTTATATCTAAAATCACTGTCGGATCCATTGAAGGGCTTCAGGGGTAACCCTGGATTCTGGCACCTTATCTGTTTCTTTGGTAATCGGAATAGCTAACCACCAAGTAAAGCCATCGAACTGATGGCTGTTATGAAAGGTACTGTCCTTTTTTATTTAATTCGATGAGGCAGGCATTAAAGAGAACTCTATAGGAAGGCAGGAGACCTGTACCCTGAGTTCACATGTAGTGATTATTGGGGGTGATGGTTTTCCTCCTGTGCATAATATACAGAGTACTGTCAAAAATGGCACCCGCTCCTGTGTCTGTTCTGGTTGCTGCTGTGTATGTAAATGTGCAAATCAGGTGCAGTTGCTGAAGGTGGTTTTCTTACTTTTTTGTAGTTTCCAGTAAGCATATTGACAGACTTTCTTATAAAAGCCGTTTGCTCTAGGCTTTACCTGGAGGCTATCCTACGTGCTGCTTATGCCCTTCTCCTTGAAGCTCTTCAACAAATCATGATCTGCACTAAGTTTTGTGAATCAAGCCCCTAAATGTTTAACTGTAAATAAGTTTCACATAATTATTAGAGCATTTTGTTGAAGGTTTTTTCCAATTAAAGTCTTAACCTACTTCAGAAATAACTATGTACAGTAGATTATGCAAACCTTAACAGGCATCAATATTTAAACTAATGTGAATTTTAAGAGATTGTGACAAAGCTGCTTCTAAATCTGCTTAGGTATAAATACTAGGGTTTGTGCTATGTTTCATACACGCTCGTTGGAGGGTTAATGAATGCCTGCTTTTCATTTGCTTGTAAATCAGGTTGTAAAAAGGCAGATAAACTAAATGTTTGTGGGATGAGGAAATAAAAGAATGGAATGAGAATCCTGAAAACTGTTGAATGTGTGAGTTCTGCAACTAAAGGGGTGGTGGCGGGTTTGTGTTTAATCATCTCAGATATTCTGTGAAATTGTTTTCATTGCAATCCTCAGAGGTTTTCAGAAAGAAGCACAGTGACAAAAACAGACGCCTCATCTGCCCTGTCGCTGTCAACCCCAGAGGGGAGGGGAGGGAGGGGCTTCATGTTGGGCTGAAGTGACCCCTAGCCACAGGAAGTGAATTTTTTTACTCCACACTGCTCAGCTGAGCCAGTGGTCATGGGAACACTGAGGAACTCGGGTGCTGACGCACACCACCTAAGCTGGAGAGTCTGCAGGTCCTGCAGAGAAATCCTTTCAACCCATGGCTGCGTCAACATCCTCTCAGCATAGAGTTCGTGTGATCATGCTTGTCCTGGGGCCAGTCTGCTTTTCTCAGCTTTGTTTACCTGAACAGCCCCAGGGCTGTGCTTGTCTAATTAACCTGCATACAAACCTCTTGGGGGTCTTATTAACAAGCACAGTCTGGCTCTGTGGGCCACACTGAGTGACGTGGACTTACTGTACTCAAGTTGTAGACATATCAGTTGTATATCTCCAATGACACTTGCTTTTCATTCCATCGGTTGTATCTAGATTTTTTCTTAGTGAAAAATAGGGAATGGTGCTCTGTCTCCAAGACGAAGTGAGTTGTGCCTTTCATGAGCTTTACCACCTGAACACAGCAAGGACTCGGTTTCAGGAACAATAACTGTGAACGCTGAGATAAGTAAAAGGGCTTTCTCCCTTTGGCTGAGCCCAGACTCAGACCCTCACTTAGAAGACAGCCTCTCCCACTCTTACCCCAGGTCTAGTCTCCTGCCCGTCAGTTGCTCCTGGGTTAACGAGGCTCTTCCGGGTCCCAGGAGGGCTCTGCCCCGACCACTTGGCTCTTCCTGAGGCTGCTCATGAGCCTTTCCATTCAGAAATGGAGGAAGCTCGCCGTGGCCGCCTGTCTGAACTGCCTCCTGACAAAACTAACCGGTGACATGTGGAAGTCCAGGGTGTGGCACAGCTTAGGCCACGTCTCTGAGGAGCTGAAGGGACATTTTTGGGTACCTGGAACTGTGCAAAGACAAAAAGTGGACGTTCCTTCAAGCAGCTGGTAGCCCTTGCTGTTGGGGGAGGGACCACAGGGTGTGCCTGAGAGGCCAGGCCTTTCAAGTTCGAGGTCAACCCCCGACTTCCCCTGAAGATAAGCCACTGAGCTCTACCAGCTGCTCCTCTCCTTGATGCTTTTGCATAAACATTCAACATTCCCTGAACATGCATGCCAAGTGATACGTAGAAGAGTGTGATTTAGAGGGGACTGATGAGGTTTGGAGTCGGAGTGAGGAGACCTTGGTGGGTGGCCTTGGCAGGTGCACTCCTGCCTGTTCAGGTCTCGGTATGTGGAGCTGAACGAGGCTGGCTCGTCCCCGGAGCCGCTTCCACTCTTACTGTCCTATGACATGAAACACTACAAAGCTAAAAATGAAAGATGCAGTAAGTGCCGCCCACTTTTCATTTCAAACCAATCGCAAAGCTATAATAATCAGTATGGTATTGGCATAAAAACAGACAGATCAAAGGAACAGAAAAGAGAGCCCAGAAATAAATCCATGTACGTACGGTCAATTAATTTACGACAAAGGAGCCAAGAATATATACAGCCTCTTCAATACATGGAACATGGGAAAACTAGACCACTAGCTTACACCAGACATGAAAATCAATATGAATTAAAGACTTGAAAACCAGCACCTGAAACTACAAATTCTAAAGGAAAACAAGTAGTAAGCTCTTTAATATTGATCTGGTGGTGATTTTTTTTTTTAAAAAAAACCTGACACCAAAAGTGAAAAACAGGTGGGACTACATTAAACTAAAAAGTTTCTGCACAGCAAAGGAAACCATCAACAAAAGAAAAAGGCAACCCACTGAATGGGAGGACATGTTGGCAAGTCATATCTGATAAAGGGGTAATATCCAAAATAGAGAAACAACTCAATAGCAAAAATCCCTGAGTAACCCAATTTAAAAATGGGTAGCAGATCTGAGTAGACATTTTCCCAAAGAGACATAGATGTCCAATGGGTACCTGAAAAGATGCTCAACATCACTCAAGGGAGATGCAAATCAAAACTACAATGAGATGTCACCTCACTTCACACCTGTTAGAATGGGTATTTGATAACAGGAAATAAAAGTATTGGTGAGGATGTGGACAAAAAGTAACCCTTGTGCCCTACTGGTGGGAATGTGAATTGGCACATCACTATGGAAAACAGTTCAGAGGCTCCTAAAAAACTTGAAACTAGAACTACCACATGATCTAGTAATTCTACTTCTAGGTATTTATCTGAAGAAAATGAAAACAGTAACTTGAAAATATATGTTCATCTTCATGTTCATCGCAGCATTATTACAAGAGCCAAGATAATGGAATCAACCAAAGTGCCCATCAATGGATGAATCAATAAAGATGTATATATATACACAATGGGATATCTACACTAATAAAAGAGAAACATGGTAATTGGCGTACGACCACTACCCTTTTCATTGGCTAATCAGCAAGATACACAAATTAACTGTCAGCCAAGATGGTGGCTGGCAGCCAGGCAGCTTGAAACTAACATGAGGCTTGCTTGCCTCAGTGACGGAGGACTCCAGTGTTCCCCGCCTGCGGCTGCAGGCCTCTGAGCGGGCAGTTTAAGAAACATTGTAACAATTACCGCTGGACTTCAGCCAGCAGATTCGCAACATTGTAAGCAAAGGCCAGAAACCTACTTTCAGCTGCGGAGGCCTAAGAGCTGGAGCCAAGCCTCGAGGTAAAGCTGGCCCAGGATAAAAAAAAAAAAAAGAAAAAAAGGAGCGGTTGGGAACTTCAGTCACACCCAGCCTGAAAACAGCCCTCAGCCCCTCACCTAGACTGGCCAGGCACCCCAGTGGGGACCCCCACCCTGATCCAGGACACTCTTCAGGGCAAACCACCGGCCCCACCCATGCACCAGGCCTCTACCCTATATAGTAAAAGGGTAATATGCCTCCCGGCACCGGGATCAGCATGACAGGGGGCAGCGCCCAAACCCCCTGATCGCCCTGCAGCTCTGTGTGTGACAGGGGGCGGGGCCCCAACCCCCTGAGCAGCCCTGCTCTGTGCCTGATAGGGGGAGGCTCCCCCACCGCCCCACCCCCCCCCACACACACGGGCCCTGCTCTGTGTGTGATGGGGTAGAGCCATAACCTCCCCATCGGCCCTGCCCTGAGTGTGAGAGTGGTGGCGCCCCAACCCCCTAATCGGCCCTGCTCTGTGGGTGATAGAGGGCGGTGCCCCAACCCCCTGACTGGCCCTGCTTTGTGCGTGACGGGGTGGCGCCGCAACCTCCCCATCGACCCTGCCTTGAGTGTGACAGGGGACGGTGCCCCAAACCCCCAATTGGCCCTACCCTGAGTGTGACTGAGGGTGGCATCACAACCTCCCAATCTGCCCTGCTCTGTGCATGACGGGGCGGCACCCCAACTCCCCAATCGGCCCTGCTCTGAGCCCGACCAGGGGCTGCACCTAGGGATTGGGCCTGCCCTCTGCCACCCGGGAGCAGGCCTAAGCCAGCAGGTTGTTATCTCCCGAGGGGTCCCAGACTACGAGAGGGCACAGGCCGGGCTGAGGACCCCCCATCTCCCCCGAGTGCACAAATTTTTGTGCACCGGGCCTCTAGTTAATCATATAAAAATGAAATCTTGCCATTTGCGACAACAAGGGTGGCCCTTTGAGGGCATTATTCTAAGTGAGATAAGTCAGAGACAAATACCATGTGATCTCGTGTATGGAATAAAAATCAACCAAGAAACTAAACTCAGCCAGGCCAGTGTAGCTCAGTGGTTGAGCATCGACCTATGAGCCAGGAGGTCACGGTTCAATTCTGGGTCAAGGGAACATGCCCGGGTTGCAGGCTCGATCCCCTGTAAAGGGCATGCAGGAGGCAGCCAATTAATGATTCTCTCTCATCGATGTTTCTCTCTCTCCCTCTTCCTTCCTCTCTGAAATCAATAAAAATATTTTTTTAAAAAAAACCAAGCTCACAAATGTATATATAATAAATTGGTTTTTACCAGAGGTAGAATGGGTGGAGGGGGTCAAAAGGTGTAAACTTGCATAGTAACTATAGTTTATAATACTGTTCTGCATATTTGAAAGGTGCTATGAGGTCTTAAATGTTTCCACAAGAGAAAAAGAATCTGTGTCTGGTGGTGGATGTTAACTAGATTTTTAAAAATTATTTCACAATGGTGTTAGATAATAGTGCCCTCTAGTGGTGTATGCTGTAGTTGCCTTTTTAGTTTCATTGGTTTACAACTATTCAGACACACGCTCTGAACAAAGATAATATAAAGTGAAACTCCATATTGAAATCTATTTTATTTCTATTGTCATTTTAAAATGGAAATGGGCTTGTGTTCTAGCATAATTAGTTAAAGCTATGGACTTCACTTTTATTACTGTTTCAGCTATAACCACGCATTTTATGTTGTATTTTCACTGTCCAGTTATAAATATTTCCTTATTCCTTGTAATTTTTTGTTTGATCCATGGGTAATTTCGTAGTGTATTTCTTCATTTAAAAGTCTGTATTTACCCAAAGAAGACAAAAATACTGATTTAAAAAGATATGCATCCTTATGCTCATTGCAGCATTACTAGTAATAGCCAAGATACGGAACTAACCTAGATGTGCATCAGTATATGAATGGATAAAGAAGATGTGGTACATATATAATGAAATATTACTCGGCCATAAACAGAAATGAAATTTTGCCATTTGCAACATGGATAGAACTAGAGGGCATTATGCTGACATGTCAGACAGAGGAAGACAAATGCCATATGATCTCACTTTTATATTGAACCTAAAAAAACGAGTAAATAAAACTGAAACTGGCCCATAGGTGTAGAGAACAAGCCAATGGTTGCCAAAGAGGAGGGGTGTGTGGAAG